TTTAATCACGATATATTCCTCAGACTTACAGTTCTAGACCTGTAATGATAAGATCTGTGTTATTTTTAATCCTTGTTTAATCACGATATATTCCTCAGACTTACTGTTCTATACCTGTAATGACAAGATCTGTGCTATTTTTAATCCTTGTTTAATCACGATATATATTCCTCAGACTTACTGTTCTATACCTGTAATGATAAGATCTGTGCTATTTTTAATCCTTGTTTAATCACGATATATTCCTCAAAATTTCAGTTCTAGACCTACAGTGATAAGGTCTGTGCTGTTTCAAGTCTTCATTTAATAATATTCAAAGGGTTGGAAATCAAATAGAATAAAAATTTACGTGCTGTTTGTTTTTGTTCTACCAGAATCACTCTTTAACATAACAAAATTAGTAAAGTAAGTAGTAACAACTGTCTTTAGTTTTTGAGACTCGCATCTAGTTACGCAACAAAACTATTAAAGCTCGTAATAGCAGTTTACTTTACTTTTCGCGCACATGTGTGTATATGACAAGATTAATAAGGGTGTAATTGCTGTTGAATTTAGTTTTCAAGATTCAAGTCCTATCACTAGTGAAGTGATAGAAACACGGTATTTTTGATGATTTTTGTAACATAATTGTATGAACATAGTTGTTTCCTGCCCATCTAGAGCCGCCTGACCCCCCTGGCAGGATCAAAGTGGATCGAGTAACAGGCACCACCGTTTTGCTCTCGTGGGTGGCACCCTACGCAGGAAATTCCCCTGTAACTTCTTACACAATAATTTACTGGATTGATAAAGGTGTGTACGTTGCGTAACAACTGAGATCTGAATAATCATCATAATTATGATAATTATTAATGTTAAGATTTTTATAGCATCTGCTTGCTTTACATGTATATCAAACTGTTACACGTAATGTTTATTACAGAACAGAACGCCACCAAGTGGGAGTTAACCGTGTCTGACCCTAAGACTACAGCAACAATAACTGATCTCAGGCCAAAGACAACATACCGTTTTAAAGTTGTTGCTGAAAACAGTATCGGTGTCAGTGATCAGCAAGAGGAACTGAAGTTTATTACAGGGATTGAAGGTTAGCAAAGAGTACTTATCTCACTTGAGGAACTGAAGTTTATTACAGGGATTGAAGGTTAGCAAAGAGTATTTATCTCACTTGAGGAACTGAAGTTTATTACAGGGATTGAAGGTTAGCAAAGAGTACTTATCTCAGTTGAGGAACTGAAGTTTATTACAGGGATTGAAGGTTAGCAAAGAGTACTTATCTCAGTTGAGGAACTGAAGTTTATTACAGGGATTGAAGGTTAGCAAAGAGTATTTATCTCACTTGAGGAACTGAAGTTTATTACAGGGATTGAAGGTTAACAAAGAGAATTTATCTCAGTTGAGGAACTGAAGTTTATTACAGGGATTGAAGGTTAACAAAGAGTATTTATCTGACTTGAGAAACTGAAGTTTATTACAGGGATTGAAGGTTAGTAAAGAGTATTTGTATCTCAATTTCGACCAGTGTATATAATTACAAGTGTCATAAGCGCATTCCTCACGTTGTGACGACATTTTACTAACGAACTAACATAGCCGTTAACCAGATATATTAATATACATTGTTTTGTGTCTACAAGAGTTCCATTTACGTTAATATACATTGTTTAGATGCACATAGTATAAACGTGTAGCAGACTTCATTGCGTGTTAACTTACATTACTTTTCCTATAATCTTGTAGAATAATAAGAACAGGCGGTAAGAATGTCTTAAGCTGTAATAAAACGGAATAGGATAGTTACCGTTGAAGTAGTAACACAAAAGGCAGAAAGGTAGTGTTGTTTTGTGACGTTACGAGAACTGTAAAACACGGGTAACGGTAGTTACAGTTGAAGTAGTAACATAGCAGGCGGAAAGATCGTGTTTTTGTTACGTTATTCTAAGCAGTAAAAAACGGGTTAGATTACGCTAAGCTGTAAAACAAAGGTTAGGATAGTTACAGTTGAAGTAGTAACACAACAGACAGAAAGGTCGTTTTGTATTGTTACGTTAGTTAAACTCTATAACATAAGTTAGGGTAGTTACAGTTGTAGTAGTAACACAATAGACAAATAGATCGTGTTGTTTTGTAACGTTAGTTAAACTCTAAAACAGTGACTCTGAACGTGGGGCGCACGCCCCACAGGGGATAATTTGAAAATGTTACAATAAGAACAATTTTTCATTTGGGTGGGAAATTTTGGTAAATTTCTAAATTTTACATTACATTATTATACCTTTTCAACACCAAATTTGCTTTTATATTACGGGGGCATCAGATTTTTTGAGGTGTCGAGGTGGGTCATGGCGCAAAAAAGGTTAAGAACCATTGCTCTAAAACATGGGTTATAGTAATTACAGTTGGAGTAGTAACACAACAGACAGAGAGATCGTGTTGTTTTGTTTTGTTACGTTAGTTAAACTCTAAAACATGGGTTATAGTAATTACAGTTGAAGTAGTAACACAACAGACAGAAAGGTCGTGTTTTTTGTTACGTTACACTAAGTTGTAAAACACGGGTTATGATAGTCTCAGTTGAAGTAGTAACACAACAGAGAGAAAGGTCGTGTTGTTTTGTTATGTTGGTTAAACTCTAAAACACGGGTTAGGGTAATCACAGTTGAAGTAGTAACACAACAGACAGAAAGGTCGTGTTGTTTTGTTACGTTAGTTAAACTCTAAAACATGGGTTAGGGTAGTCACAGTTGAAGTAGTAACACAATAAGCAGAAAGGTCGTGTTTTTTTGTACCGGTACGTTAAGCTGTAAAACACAATCTTACCGTCTCATTACATCAACTGTAGCTATTAAACCGATGTTTCACAGCTTAAAGTCATGTTACACATAAAAAAATGATCTTTCCATCATACTACACCTTTTAAACCTCGATTTCAGAATGTAATCTAAATGACTTGACAAAAGGTATTTATTTATTCAGTCATATTGTGGTTAACAGCAAACCCAATCCAGTTCAACGTTTTTCAAGATTATCAACTTGTCATTTTACAATAGTTCGAGAACCACTCTTCTATCTCTGGCGAGACTTAGTCTCTGTTTCTTTGATCGTTGTTTTGGTCAAGTGGTCTAGGAAGATCAGGTACATCCTGAACCTTTCCCTCAGTTCTACATTGTTGGTTTCATTCTTGGATGTTGTGGAGGAAGCCCACGTTAGTTCTTCCATGTAATTTAGTCTGGTAGCTAGGGAAAGCCGTCATGCAGCCACTGCATCCTTTGCACGATTGTTCTTTCGCGCATGCGTGTGGCTCTTTTCAAGCCATGTCCATGAATGTACTACGTAGATTTTTCGTGTTTTGGGATATATATCTCTTTTTTTTTCTTCGTTCGTTGTCAACATAAAGTTTTGTTCACACAAACAATTCCATAAATACCGGTGTAAAACATACAGCACTAATCTTATTTTTACATATAATAACCCTTTTAAAATAAGATTAACACTATATCTAGCTACCGGTTTGGGCAGTAGCAAGTGGCCATAGGTTATATAACGATTTTACTGATGGTGAGAGGTGTTTATGTATTTCTCCATCATGTATGACAAGGTTTTCCAGAGTTCTTATTTGTTCTCATTTTTATTTAGAGCTTCTTGAAAGTAATCTAATGAGTTATTTTGAAGTCTCTATTTAATGATATTTCTCCCTGGTTTTAGCACCAAGAAACGCACCACGTGACGTCACAGTAATTGCTCTAGATATCAGTTCTGTACAGTTGTCTTGGAGTGTAAGTATGCTCTTCTGTAACATATTTTAAGTAATAACATCACGTATTTAGTGTAAGTATGCTCTTCTGTAACATGATTCAAGTAATAACATCACGTATTTAGTGTACGTATTCTCTTCTGTAACATATTTCAAATAATAACATCACGTATTTAGTATAAGTATGCTCTTCTGTAACATATTTTAAGTAATAACATCACGTATTTAGAGTAAGTATGCTCTTCTGTAACATATTTCAAGTAATAACGTCACGTATTTAGTGTAAGTATGCTCTTCTGTAACATATTTCAAGTAATAACATCACGTATTTAGTGTAAGTATGCTCTTCTGTAACATATTTCAAGTAATAACATCACGTATTTAAAGTAAGTATGCTCTTCTGTAACATATTTCAAGTAATAACATCACGTATTTAGTGTAAGTATGCTCTTCTGTAACATATTTCAAATAATAACATCACGTATTTAGAGTAAGTATGCTCTTCTGTAACATATTTCAAGTAATAACATCGCGTATTTAGTGTACGTATGCTCTTCTGTAACATATTTCAAGTAATAACATCACGTATTTAGAGTTTACAACAAGACTTGTTACTCATAAACTCTAATTATATTATGTATTCAGCAACTGACAACAATAAAATAAAGAAGCTAGTTACATGTAAACTATTATAATATTATGTAGTCAGTAACTGATAACAATAAAATAAACAAGCTTGATACTTGTAAACTATGATAATGTTTTATATTCTATAATTGACAACTATAAAATAAACAAGCTAGTTTCTTGTAAACTATGATAATATTATGTAATATTATATATTTTATTAACTATAAAATAAACAAGCCTGTTACTTGTAAACTATTATAATATTATGTATTCAGCAACTGATAACAATAAAATAAACAAGCTTGATACTTGTAAATTATGATAATGTTTTATATTGTGTTATTGACAACTATAAAATAAACAAGATAGTTACTTGTAAACTATGATAATATTGTGTATTCAGTAACTGAAAACTATAAAATAAATAAGCCTGTTACTTGTAACTTGGTTATTACAGAAACCGTCATACAACTAAACCATTTGTAAACTTTTAATCTAGTTTCCTCAAGGTGATGAGTCAGTTGACACTATTAACGGCTTCTACATCGGACACAGGGAGTACAGAAAGAGAGGGTCGTTCTTGAATCAAACGATGCTGGTTAATACTACAAACAACAGATGGGAATTTGTTGTTCGTGAGTTAAAGAGAGCAACTCTATATAGCTTCGTTGTCCAAGCTTTTAACGATCAGGGTCCCGGACCGCAATCGGTGGAGACATTTGTCAGAACGTTGGAGTTTGGTAGATAATAAGTCTTTGTTATAATGATACTTGAATGCAGTTATCCTAGATATAAGTCTGTCTTACCTCAAGCTTAACCTTGTAAATCAGATTCTGTCACTTTCCCATAGATGTGATAATACTGCTTGACTGTAGATATCTTAAATAACTCACTTCATGCCTAGTTTATTGAGTCGTAACATACCTAAATCGAACGAAATAGGTGGTGATTCTAGTTTATTGAGTCGTAACATACCTAAATCTAACCAGATAGGTGGTAATTCTAGTTTATTGAGTCGTAACATACCTAAATCTAACCAAATATGAGGTAATTCTAGTTTATTGAATCGTAACATACCTAAATCTAACCAGATAGGTGGTAATTCTAGTTTATTGAGTCGTAACATATCTAAATCTAACCAAATATGTGGTAATTCTAGTTTATTGAATCGTAACATACCTAAATCTAACCAGATAGGTGGTAATTCTAGTTTATTGAGTCGTAACATATCTAAATCTAACCAAATATGTGGTAATTCTAGTTTATTGAGTCGTAACATACCTAAATCTAACCAGATAGGTGGTAATTCTAGTTTATTGAATCGTAACATACCTAAATCTAACCAGATAGGTGGTAATTCTAGTTTATTGAGTCG